GTGGAAAATGCCGCAGGGGCAGGGAGGCCTCATCTACGGCTGGGCGGCAGCTCCAAAGCGCGCTGAGGGTGCCGAGACGCGTCGGGCCTGCGCCTGTGGGCGGTTCGACCCAAACTAGGCTCTGACTTTTCTGGTTAGGGGTTTCTTGCCACCATGGGCTGAACTGAGATGCAAAACCAGAGCGCCACGGTCGTTGGCCTGCAAGGAGTAACCGAGTCCAGCCCAAAGGACGCAACCGTTTCTTCTGAGTCGGGTCCCCGTGGATACGAACGCAGCTTTTGAGAGAAACCCAGTAAAAATAACCCTTTGCTGGCGGGATTTACGAGCCTATAATAAAGCGTGAGCCTGCTTACATGTACTTCACGGCACAGCAAAACCGCTCATCTTATTACTGGCACACTGCCAATTGCCTTTTTTGTTTAAATTAAAAAAAAAAAAAAGGGAAAAGAAAAAAACAAACTAAAAAAAATAAAGACTAGGAAAGTGTTCCCGCCCTTTAAAGGAACATTGTGACCCATCATCAGCGCGTTTTAGTTTCCCCCTTAGGTAGCGTACAAAGGATTAGGATTTCAGTGAAAGCCGGGGACAGAATAAATCGCATCCTCTACCAAAGAACTGCCCGACCTTTTCAGCCGGGCGCATACCACGAGCCCTTCCCATCTTAGCCAGCTTTAGCTAAACCTTCCCGAGCAGCGCCTGCCCCGGAATTTCATGGGTTTCAGGGTCAGTCACGACAGAACTGTGGGGCTGGGGAGGTCAGAGGCCATTTTTGTCAAAGGGTAGTGACCTTCGCAGCGAGAGGCAGCCTGACAAAACCGGGACTCACGCGAGTGAAAGGAGTTCTCACTGCTCTGCCCCCGCTGAGCCTTTTTTCTACCTGGTAATGAAAAATCCTGGAAGAATTGTCATGGCGTTTTATACCCACGCTTGCATATATGTTTACGTGTGCGTAAACAACTGTTTAAAAATAGGGCGTATGTTATGTTGGTTGTGCTATAATATATAATATTACGATATATTGTATTACGTCCATCTATCTTTTTTTATACGCTTTAGCCCACGAAGAAGATCACACTTTGAATGAAACGTATGTTTGTTGTGAGAAGAAAGAGGGGAGAAAGACGGAAAGTGAGTAAGAGAAAAATAAAAAGAAGGGGAGACCTGGTTGCGGCCTTTCAGTACCTAAAGGGGGCCTACAGGAAAGATGGGGACAATCTTTTTAGCAGGGCCAGCTGTGACAGGACAAAGGGTAGTGGTTTTAAACTGAAGCAGGGTAGGTTTAGACTGGATATAAGGAAGAAATTCTTTACAACGAAGGTAGTGAAACACTGGAACGGGTTGCCCAGAGAGGCAGTGGAGGCCCCACCCCTGGAAACATTCAAGGCCAGGTTGGACGGGGCTCTGAGCAGTCTGATCTGGTTAGCGGTGTCCCTGCTCACTGCTGGGGGGTTGGACTGGATGACCTGTAGGGGTCCCTTCCAACCCTAAACATTCTATGATTCTATGAAAAGAGAAAAAAGAATAAAGAAAAAAGAAAAAAGTGAAAGGAAGAGAAAGGGAAAATTAATCTTCTGGCACGTGGTACAAAAGCTTCTTCTTCAGGATTGGTGTAGCCACGTGTTTGCTTCATATACACATAAATACATGGCTAAGCGAGAGACAGCGGTGTCAGTTACTTTGGGTAAGGGAAGGGCTTAACTAACAGGCCGCAGGCTCTGACTCGGGAGGTTTGGCCATTTGCACTAGGGTGATTTAAGAGCTTGCTGGCCCTACCCAGAGGTTACCGTCCTCTCGTGAGCCGCTGCACTTCACAGCCTGGTATGCACCCATGGCCTGAAAGCGGTGGCAGTTTGTATTAATAAGGCGGGTTCTGACCTGCAGTGGGGGAGGAGGGGGCCTGCTTTCCCTTGCAGAGCTTCTGGTGCAGATGGTGATGGTGACCTCTGTGGAGCTGCGTTCGGTAATCTGTGTATTGCTCCCCATGAAAGTCCAGTTTACATTTCAAAGCCCTCATCAGGAAGCCGTTCAAAAGTAGCTGGAAGTGCACGTTCAGGCTCCTGTGGCATCAACACAACTTTCTAAATGAATTAAAAAAAAAAAGAAAAGCTACGGAGGTTCTTTTGCAAAAGACTTTCAAAGCCCTATCTGACTGACGATGTTATGTGCCTCTTTGTTATGAGCAGCTTTGTGGTGCTGCCGCTGGTTGGTCAAAATTCCCTCTCCCAGCACTTTGCACACGATATTGCGATTTTCCACTCAGAAAGTCGCTGGAGCTGACACTGTGTCCAACATCCATCCTCCTTCCTGAACAGCCTCCCTGGGCTCTTCAAGTCAGGGTAACCGAGTTGTCCCCAAATGTGTTGAAGGCTATGGCACATTTGGTTACTAATGTAGCCTCATTCTCTCCTATCTTTCAGTCAATGGGGGTTAGACTTTATTGGGTTTAACGAGTTATTGTACAAAATGTAGGAAGTGCTTCTGGCTTCCCTTGAGCAGTGCTGGGGTTCACCTCCTTCCTGATCCTCCCAAAGACCCGGCTTTGAGTTACTGGTCAGTTCTGCCCACAAACATCTCACCAATACGTCTGGGTCCTTGGAGGGACTACAGCAAGTCATGGCCAATAGTCCATCAGGTAACTGGAGATTAATCGACCTTCTTGCGCATGAGTGAACAGGGTCGCGGTGGGCTCTTGGCAGGCACGATGCAATGCAGAGATTTGGAATTCCTTGGGGAAGAGAAAGTGGACTTTTCTATTCTAGTCACCCTACCTTTCCCATACTAACTTCTCACAGTCTTGTTGAGGCAGATATTCTTCTATGCTTGTTAATGATTAATAGGCCAGAATCGATGCTTTGATTCAAACATCTTCCATAGAAAAAATGCAAAGTAGGACTTTGGTCTCAAACACATCAAAATCCAGCTGCTAAAGACTGGCCACTAAAAAAACTTCCTCACGTGACTTACCTTCTTGATGCATAGGCAATTTTGCCTGAAGGTAACTTGAATAAGAACAAAATAGATGAGTGAGCCTAAGCCTGATCTCACCTGTCCTTAATAAATGTGAAGAGTAAACGTATATTGGGTAATGAGACCAGCTGACAAGGGTAAAATTTGAGAAGGTCTGTGGCACTAGCCCAGGAAACAAGGTTTTCATCAGGTACCTGAAGGTAGAGATAAACTCCCACTGTGTTTCTGAAGATCCCACCAGGACCTTGGCTGAACGCTTAAGAGCCTGGACGCTTGCAAAACCCATCCTGGAACCCTTTCCTCCCTCAATCCTTCCAGATTCCCAGCTCATTCCTGTAGTTACTTTAGACCCTAAACTCTGAGCAGTTTACCCGCTAGTTAAATATGCAAGGCCTGAGAATGTTGCCGCTTTACTCACCTAAGGGAAAATATCTTTTCCATTTCCAGTATTCCAGGGACGACACGTTTGTTACAAGGTACCGTAAAGAAGATAGCACATCTTACCTGCCTTGGGGAGTATGCTGCCTCAGGTGAGCAGCAGCAGCAGGACTTAAACCAAACACTATCAAGTCATCAACCTGTTCATAGCCTTGAGCCCCTTCAGCTGAAAGCACAGGCGTAGGAATACTCATTTGCTGTAAGTTATGCATGTTCTCAAGTCTTCTGTTGGATAAAAACCATGCATGGTCGCATTTAGGGTTTTTTGAAGGTTTGCGTCTGTATTTAAGTAAATTTAAATGGTATCTGTTTAATTTCAAGAACTTTATTTGAGTGTGAAAATCCCTCATATATCTTGCACAACTGTACAAATAACACTTTTGTCCATTTTAGGCATAAACATGGTTATCATCACACTGGGTGCTATCAAAGATTTTATTTACAAAACAATTACTAAAATGCCTGATGTTATATTTCCATTTATTTATTTCTTACCCATAGGGTAATAGGTCCACCATAATTGCTTGGTGCATTTTATAATACAGAAGAAAAAGCTATGTTAATAAAATCTAACAAAAACTCACAAATAGCTACAAATCCGACAGAAAATGTCTAAGAAAAATTCTCCCCAAAATACAATACATTTTTCCACACATACACAGTACAGAATAAGTTCAAAGGCACAGCTTTGAATTTTGCTTTTGTAGAAGTATATAGAATTATCACCACGTGAGGGAATCAAGAGAACAGTTTCATACCTGTCAATAGGTAAATAAATGAATAATCATGTTTGCATTGCCATTTTCTTTACATAATTGCTTCATATCATCATATTTAACATATGTGGCTCTGAATCCAAAATCTTCCCAGTCCCCAAGTCCCTTCTTAACCTTGTCATTACTGACCAGAGAAATTAGTTTTTTTCCAGATTGTGCAAACTTAACACAAATACATATATAATAAGAACAATAGTCAACTTAAGGCAGTGTGTAATTCAATGCTACATGTCTTTTCTTCTCTTTTGTAAAGATCAAACTTACTGAATCAACAGAAAGGTGCATCAATATACAACGTTAGGTGTAAACTGAAACCTACAACACGTGTCTTTTAAGGAGCCAGATAGGGAATTGATATGAACAAGTGTTGACTTGGCAGAGTGGTTTTTAAGGAATGCATTAAGAGCTTAAAAGAAGAACAGATGACAAAATTTTGCTGAGGGTGAATTTCCTGTCTTTAATTCAAATTATAAATAGGTCCTGTTCCAGTACTTTTTTCATAAGACTCAATAACATTTGTCAATAAGAGAGAGGGGCAAAAATGGCTCACTCAAACTGACATCACACAGGGTTGGCCCACATGCCAGAATTTAAAAAGGCACAGATTGGCCCCAAAAGTGGTCTAGAATAGCACAAAAATCGGCTACAGGAACATTCAGTCATACTGGTCTGCAATCTGCCCACATTATGAACTACGTTTATCTGCCCAGGATCTTTTCCATCTTCACCTCCCTTGAAGAACGTCCACGAAAAGTCCCACATAACACGACGTTTTTAGAACTTTTTTAAGTATAGGGGCTTAGCTGATACCAGTCATTTTCATTTAGCCCAACCTGTGGTGGCTTCCCCATTGATGTAGGCAAAGCCGGGAAAGTGTTGCATGTGCTCATATTCAGAATTTCTGCGCGTAGTCAGGGGGGTGTACATGTCACTAGAATTTCCATATCTTGTGGAGTGCATGGATGGGCTCGTGTAGCAGGAGTTCGCAGCCGGGACCTCCGGCCAGCGAGGAGTCACTGGTGTGGGATGCAGCCTTGGAGTACTGCTCATCAAACAGGGCTCCATTCTTGATGTTGGGCTGTTGAAAGGGTACTGCAATAAAAAGAAAGACAGAAAAATTAAAGAATTATCTACCACATACTTAATTTTAAAATAAGGACTGGTGGTGTCACAATTCCTTGTATAACAAAACCAAAATCATATGAATTAGCAGCCCCCCAACAACTAGGTAACATACCGAAGGTGGAATATCAGATAAGTAGTGCCTGCAGTCACACCAAAGCATCAGGGGAAGTCTTACCAAGCAGTCACTGCGTTTAAATATTGAATTAATTTATCAAAGATCTAGATACGGGGGGCAAAAAAAATAAATTGAGTTCATCTAATCTTTTTCTCATAGCTTTTACTTGGAAACTTGCTATTCAGTAAAAAACAGAGTATAAAATGTCCCAACTCTTGCTTGCTGAATTTTGAGGGAGGAGAGCAAAAGGATCATTGTTACTGGAAAGGTGCCTTCCCTTTTAAATGTTCACAAGGCATCCTGCCAGTTACTGCAGAAAGATAGTATGGTCTGGCCTCAGAGCAAGCAGCTAATTGGAGAACTTCTGAAAAGAGGCAGGCAGAAGAAGATTCTGTCTACTCCCCAGCAGTTTGCAGTGACAGCTGGAAACTAGAAATCAAAGTAGTTCGACAAATGCCTCCCACTAAGGAGAAGACGTGATGAGTATAGGGTAGGTAGGAAAACAGAGAACAGCGTTTGCCCTCTATAGCCACAGGCTGCCCAGCAACAGAAAGTAAACTGTGCTTATGAGGGCTTGCTTAATGTGTATTTATCTTATTGCCTGTCTTACAGGAGCAGATAATCTGTGTGCTGTGCCTAAGAAATGTCTCTCCTTGTTTTGCTCTCCTATTACCTATCTGCATCAGAGAGATGGTTAGGACCCCTGTTCCCCTTGACCAGCCACATATCTCCAGAGCTTCTACATTTTACATGCAAATGCGTGTACATACACAGGGCCGTACCTTTTCTACAAAAAGTGTCACAATGTTAAATGTCATGATCTTGGATTGTTTGACACCGTGATATTTCCTTAACTAGAAAGCTGTCACCAGAGTAGGACTATCACTTCATCTGATGCCTACAGACCTTGCAAGCCGCATGCCAAAGTTTTATATGGCAGAGGACTGTAAACCCCCTTCCCCATATTTTGAAGGGTCATGGAGAGAAGAGCTGCCATAGTTATTCCTAGAAGGGAGATGGCAGCGATTCCCAAAGGATCTCATTACATTACTCCACTGCCGGATGGGGCTGGGATCAATCATCACATACGTGGGTCCCCAAGGCAGTGATAGCAATGCCTCCGTGAAGAGTTTCTGCTGCCTCCCTCCAAACCACAGCCAGGAAGGCAGCCCTGCCTTGGCAAACATATTTGAACAGTTCACAAGCCTCAGGCAGCTCAAAAGCCACATGCTGGCCACTCCTAATTAAAGAGGAGAAAGAGAAGACTGGTTCTGACCAAAATACTGTAGTTAATGATTTATCATACTGCACCGTGTCCTAGGAAAACAGGCCAGTTAGCAGATGAGAGAGGAGAGTAAAGCTGTACAGTGCATCATTTAGCATATATTCCTCAGCGGCACAGAGACCATGGATTTACCTGTGCAATCAGCTGCTGAAACAGGCAGGTAAATGGCAGCACCATGCTGGAGCATCGACACTTCAACTGGTACCACTAGTACAGCTGTCTGAATAAGCCATGTTGGCAACACTGGTAACAAGTCTATACAAGATCACCTACATTTCCATCTGCACCCCAGCTTTTCAGTAGGAATTCAGCAGAGTTTAGGCACTGACTGCAGAAAGCCTTATATTCCTTCACAGAAGAATCAAGTTTGCAGAATTGCTGACTTTCCAGAAGCTTTTGCTGAAGATAAGAGCTGCCTGTGCCCAGCAACAATGGAACTCAAGCTTTGAAGTTTTATATGAGGCGATTTGCATTTAGGATCATGGTTCTCTCTTTAACTCATTAATTAAGGACAGGGCACTGTCAAAAGACAAACAACTTGCAGATATTCTAAATAAACAGAAGAGGTTCCAGAAAAAGTTGAATAATTTTCATATTTTTAATGTTTGGGAGACTAGCTAGTAGATTTAGGATGCAGCTTTCCTGGTCTGCACTGGCAAGACACTGAAGTAATATTCATGCTAGTGCCTGCTGACTGCCTTCCCCTCAACATCTTGGTGAGCAAAGCTCCTGAGTAATGAATATAGAAGAAACAAGTTGTCGTGTTATTCACTACAGCTTCAAAGTTGAATTAATCTTACCTAACTTTACTTGTCAGAAAGTCAGGTATCTAATAAAGGGGAGTCATTTGTGCTCTGTCTACAGCCACCAGAAGAATTTATCAAAACTCGAGATAAATATTTAAGACAGAAGATGAGCAGTCCTCAGAAGATGGCTCTTTCTTCCTTCTGATACATGATGTAATCCATTAGTTAGGCTGGCTCAAGTTAAATAATAGTCCATTTTCCATAGTTGTCAAATCCGTAAGTTGTTTTTCCTGGCTGATCTCAAATGTCCCACTAATGACTGTGTGCAAAATGCTTTGAGATGGTAGGAGCCAGGACCACGATGGACCATTGGGAAAAAACACACCACACAAATAATCAATTTTTAACTTTCTGCTTCCTGTATGTCACCTGTGGAGCTGCAAGATGTGGGCCAAGCTAGAAATATTCTTTGTCTTCAGTAGCATTTTACTTGATACCAATTATCATGGTCTTTGCCTTTATTACCCACTGATCTATACCTGAAGTCACTGTAGATTCTTGTATTAAAGAATATACTTATAGCAAGATTAATCTAGACTTTTGCCATAATACACCAATGGTTATCTATTGTCTTCTTCCTAATGTGATATTTGATTTGCTGCGTTGTTAACCATAACAGAATCCTTTGCCATCCTGACTATGGCAGGATTTCCTATGAGCCTGTGTCTTATAACAGGAGAACTACTTGCTTTCATACCCCTTACAAATGCCAAGAGAAAGCCTTGGCTTCAGCCAGGATAATTTGCTACTTGGTAATTTGTAGACTGCAAAACTTTGATCTGTGAGCAAGAGGAACAAAACAAACACTGGGAATATTGCAGTGGGTCTCCTGGTTGTACATGGTATTATGTGGGGAAGCCACATCATGTCTTTCAGGTAGTTTGGACCTAAACCTGCGCCGTTGGGGGAGTGAAACCTTGGCTCCCAGGATGAACTTCAGGATGCACTGAAAAGGAAAGATAATCCTCTTCCTATCTGCAGTCAAGAGGCCATGCTAAGGCTTACTAAGAAGGCAGGGCTGTGCATGAGAGGACAGGATACAGTGTGCTGCTTTTCCTTTTCATCAAGCACACCCGACGCAGCTGTGTTTATGAATGTGTCATGAATGTAAAAAGAATAATTGCTTGAAAATAACACGGACCCTAAATATCTAGTATTTTACAATAAATTCTGTTATGACTGAACGCACCTACAGTGAAGAAAATATTGAAAGACAATATTTTTAAAGTACTCATTGGCCCCTGCCTGACTATTAACTCACCCAATGAAGCATCTATTCAGCCTTGTTGGAGTGTCCGAAGCATAGCCATCTGGGCGGATGCCTGCCCATGCTGCCTGAATCACCTTTCACACTCTACATCCGGTTTAATGAAGAGTGCTTAAGCATGCTGAACTCAAAACACTGGGGCCTAGTGATCTTTGCCAGATATAAAAGCGACGTTTGTTGGAGGGCTCTTGACAGGAAATTACCATTTTCTGGGTTAACTCACACTTGCTGCTACTGCTGCCGTTAGACCTAGACAAGAAGCCCTTTAAGACTTTGAGCAGATTATTGTTAAGGCCTTGCCCAAAAATGTAAAATTAATTCAATTTTTTTTTAGTATTATTTTAGAAAATACAACGTCAGATATGTCCTCCCCTGAAGTGAAGACTGAGTTCCTGCAGCGTCCGGATGGAGAATAATCTCTTTATTCTTATCTTCAACTCACTGACTGATTATGCACGGAGGTGAAAGGTGTCTCTGTCCAAACAGCAAAATATTTTCCTTATGAATGTGGCTCTGACTTTACATTGCATTAACTCACACTTTTGCAGAATGCTGTAAGCTAATGTTGTACGTTAGCCGCTATGTTAGGACTAGCAAATAATTCATAGTAGAAACTATAGCAATTGTGAAGAACTGGCTATAAATTAACTTCATAAAAATAAGCTTAAAATCTCAAAAAAAAAAGACATAATAAAAACTATTGGTTGATTGCATCTTTATAACCCTTAAATTGAGCCATTTATCCACAAATTGAAGCTTATTGAATATTTGTCAGATAGGCTGGGTGAAACTTTCAAGTCAATCTAAGTGATTTTGGTACTTTTGGGAGTGGCATTTTGAGCCTTATGAAAATGCTATTTGCAATTATTTAAAAAGAAGTTAAGACATCTGTTTCCTGTTGCATTCAGTGCATAATTACTTCAATTACATTCTAACCATCTCAAGACCATTATGAAGCCATACAATTAGGAACAATGATCCTTGTTGCATGGGTGGGATTTGGACAGTATTTTTTTCTTTCTGTCATTACTGGCTGTTTGATGACAGAGTGGTTATTGGGCAGGGTATTATTCTTACTGCATTGGTGTAGTCATGAGCTTATACTGCTTATGTGCTACAGGGACAAGAACTTTTCCCCTTCTTTTTTTTTTGTGAAGTAGATGGGCCAGAACAATGTGAATGCACACCAAAGCATGGGCTCTGTCTGGGAGAGGATTTCTTAGGCTCCCCAACTGTAACAAAAACCAGTTACTACTTTCTTCCTGCCCCCTTATAAATCCTTCTGCAGAGGCATATGAAGGGAAGCGAAGGCATGGTTGGGTAGAATTGTGGCATGCAACATTGCCCAGAGAAACCAAGTGGTGCTGAACCTCACAGGGCATTTCTGGGAAGTTATGTGAGACCACTGCAGTCCTCAGAACAGTTTAGGAGAGTCAAAGTACAAACACTGCTTAAAGTTCCTTTCACTATGGCCCCAATACTGTGCTCTGTGCC